TCGGCGCGTGTGCCAGGCTTCTTCTCTCTTTAGCGAGCCTACCGCGCCGGTGTGTACGCGAAAATAAGAGCAAAACGGATTGAATTAAGTGGATGCGCTCTCGATGTTCGATTCACAAAAGCTGGGGCCACGCCACCTGCGTGTCATTCGACTCGGAATATTCCCGCGTAATCTCGAATAATTGCGCGCGTTTTGATCGCATCACGTCGTTTCTTCCTTTTCTCGATATATATATATATATATCGAGATCTCGATGTCGAGCTTTTAATTTAACTTTTGATCTCGTATCGTAACTGCGAGGAATTGAGAGAGAGAGAGAGAGAGAAAGAGAGAGAAAAAAATCATCGAATCATTCTCTCTGACATATTAAAGATTGCATCGGGATCTTTTTCTCCTTTTCTTTGATCGTTTGTAAAAAGTAAAAAAAGAGACGATAGAGAAGAAGCTTGGAGGAGGAAGCTCAGAAGGAGGATTCAGCTCATAAAATAAACAGGAAAACAGGTATGGATGCAGGTGATTGAAAAGCAACACCCGTTTGGCAGTGGCATGGCTCTTCTCTTCCACGCTCGATCCATCGTACGGCGGAAGGAAAAATAATCGTGCAAAACTGAAGCTGATATTACGCTCATCCGGGCGATAACGTTCTATCCGTCTATAAATTATTAGAAAATGCACGATCTTTGGAACGATCTGTTCAAGTTGAGATGATAGGCAAGGGTAATGGAAGTATCAGTTCATGGATGAAATGTAAACGGCTTTATCACGTCGTTCAACACTTTTTATTCCATTTTAAAATTTCCATTTCATTGAACAAGAAACTCGAGCAATTACGTATGCACGTTTTACTTAGCATAAAATTTTAAATATTTTAAATATCCATCCTTTAACAGATTTTTCAAATTTCGTCGTATTATTTATCTATTGATTTAAATTTCAAATTTAGAATTTCGTTATCGAAAGATTTAATAGATTTCATATTATTGTCGGGAAATAATATTTTCATTCGAAACATAACCAACGTAACCATTAACATTTATAGCAATAAAAATTCCAAAACGATATTTTTTCCTCGTCTCTTGAAATATCAAAGATATTTCGGAGCGGATTTAATACATCGTAAAATAAAAAATCTCTCTCTATCAAGATCCAAAATCTCATTCCATAATATCAACCGTAAAAGTTTTCGATCAACTAAGTAGCCGCGCAGCAAATCGTTATATACGGCGGGTGGCCGTATATAATTAAAACATTCCTCGTTTGTATATTGATTTAAACCAGCGCGGAGAATCAGCGCGGGTAAGACGCAAGAACAATTAAACAATAAACGGGACCCCTGTGTCGCCAATAAAAGCCCCTCGATTGCGTTCTCACCGCAACCAAGTGGGCAGAGAGAAAGAATCGGGGGAACCATAAAGCAAGCGTTTATCGATCTGTTGCCGGTGAAATTTATACCCTTTACCGGAATATCGTCAAATCGCGCGGCATAGTCGTAAACTTCCTCCCCTCCCTTTCCTCCCCGTCTCACGAAACAGCCGCCTCTTTCTCCAACACTCTTTCTCTTTCCTCTCTCCACTTGGCCCATACTCGGACAACACTGCGCCCGCATATCCCGACTCCGACTGCAGTCACCTCACGGATATCCGGTACTGATCCGCGTGGCGCACGCATAAGGTACATCTCGAATCACCATCTCGAAAAAAAAAACCCTCCTCCCCCTTCCCTCTTCGTATAGCCGCCGCTTCTCACTGGCAACCCTTATGCCACCGATCATCGTTGCAAAAACCCGCGAATGCCGTGGTGTAAATTGCTCGAAAGTTTTTCAATGGGTCGTTACTCCTTATACGCGGTGTTAGAGTTGGTTGGGGAGAAGAAAGGAACGTTTTGTTTGGTAGAAGTGTGTAAAATGCGTACTACCGGCAGTAAGCATTATTTAAGAGTAACCTATTACGCTTTTGCAACATGTTTTGCGTTTTAAAAATAAATGATATCACTATTTTTGAATGTATTTTGAATGTATCAAAAGTTATTGATATTCGAATGGAACGTCTTTGTATTTTATTCGAAAAAAAAAAAAAAAATCAGTGTTATCTATGAAAATATTAGATCTATATTATTGTTGAAAGATACACTGATACTAACATGTAAAAAAAAAAAGGAAGATTACTATTCGTGTCTATATGAATTAGTTCTCCAAGTATTTCACGAAGTTAAAATTACCCCTACACATCTTTTTACCCTTTTTACAAGATTACGTTTACAAGATAATTCGACAAATATTAAAAAAGAAAAAAAAGAAAAAGGAAAAAAAAATCACTTACAGGAAACTTCTACAAAATTTCAACGCGAATTATCGCATGCCGTCCGAAACCTTTCACCGCAATAAGCGGGTAAGGTAAATCGTTTTCTCTAAAACGTTCAAAAAGGCATTAAGGCGGAATCGGGGCCCGTGGGGGCCCGCGCTTTAAAAATCCTCGGTCGAGTCACCGTTACCAGCCGGCCCATGAGACTCTCTCGTTCGAGATGGATGACTTTTTAACGATTTTCCAGGGTGATTATCGCGGATGCAAATTTTTGCCCGGCGTATTACGTCTTTGTAAAACGCGTCCTCACGCATCGGTGATCCGAGTGGCCGCCATTGAGAGGGAGAGGGGGCAGAAGTGGTCGGCAGAAACTCGTTTGCTCATTAAAATCTCATAAAACGCTGATACGTCTTTAATCTGCCGTCCGTTTCCCGCGCTCGAGGAAATCCCCTCCTCCCCCCCCCCTCCTCACCCCCGAGAGTGTGGCCTTAACTTTGATCCTAGACGATCACGGTCGGCTCTCCTCCGTGGCAAGCGGACCGAGACGAAAGAATCTTTGGAACAGTTAGTCCCGGTATGCTGCACAGCTTCTTATACCTCTCTTGGAAAGTAATATTTGTCCTCGATACGGTACAGCACTTTTCATTGTTCCCGGTATTCTTGCCAAAGAAATTCTGTTCGGTCGTTGAACTATAGAGTTGTTTAGGTAATGGATCGAATTGGAAGGTGAGGATTCTTTCTTTTTCTTTTTTTCTTTTTTTTCTTCCTCTTTATGGATTATGGTAAGATTTTTAAATAGCAAAATATTTCTTTCTCTTATAAATTTGAAAATTGATGATGCATGTAGCAACTGGATATAAAACATTTTCTTTGATCATTCATATTATATGAACTTAATTCCAATATCTAGTGTGATTGCATATAGATTTTATTCTAGTTGGTCCAATCTGTGAATGAGTTTCGTTTCATCAAATCTTAATTGCTGTTTGAATTATATATTCAGATTATACAAAGATACAAATACAAGTAGAAAATAAATCTAAAATCTAGATCTGATGAACTTAGTATCTTTTCTATTATTTTCTATTTTATTATATTATAAGTTTCTATTATAAACTAATGCATCTATTGTAACAAGAATAAATAAATACCTAATTTTAAATAAGCGAAGCAGTGTGATTCAGAGGATCTGAACAATAAATCGTTCCTCTTATAAAGATATCTAAACCGTTGATACCTTTATCGAATATTTTACGACCAAGAGAGACTCCATTTCCCAATACCTTTCTCGTCCATTACGCGCTGGTCACTTTCCATTCGAAAGTTGCTCGAAATCTTTTCATATCGTCAGCGCAACGCTTCAAGTCAAAGTTAGCAACGGGGTGTTCGAATTAGCGTTTCGGACCACGGATAAATATAGAAGGCCACCCAGCGAGCAAACTAATGTACCGTGTGCTGTAAGCGTGGGGGTAAAACGGAGTTTCGCTCTCTCTATTCTCCTTTTGTCACTCCATTCTAATTCTCTCCCTCTCTCTTCTTATCCCTCGTGTCACTCTATGCATATATTTCCATTGCCCTCTTTTCGAGTCACACGAGAATCCATTTGAGAATAGAAACTCTCTCTTAGAGTAATTTTTCATTAATGCTACTATTGAAAGTATTTATATACCGAATACAAATGTTTATTTGGGAAATATTACGATATTAAATATTTCTCGAGAGTAATATTCGAGAGTTTTTAACCGAGTATGATCTGAAATTTTTTAATTTCGAGGAGCGATAATACGTTAAAATGAATGGAATAAAATGTTTTCATGCGGGATAAATCTTAATCTTTGGTAACATGATGTGGAACGTCGTTTGTAGGAACGAAATTTTATTCCTCCGAGTGATTAGAGGGATGTAGAAAATGGTGAGAGTAAGAGAGTAATGTTCTTGTCACGAGAAACACATAAACTGCGTTGTACATTTTGTAAGGTGTACCGTGTACGATTTGCAGAAAATTCGCTTCACAGATGCGCTTTAGTGTTTTGTGACGAGACATCGTGGTAATACAAAGTCCCTTAGTCATTCGTCAAATCTCTTAATTCCTTTGAGGTTTATTAAAATGGTTTATTTATGTGCCTGATCATTGAATTATTTTATCTTTTTAATGTTCGTGATGGATTGAATGGATTATTAACACATTTGGTATTTGGAGGAGAGTATATATTCTTTTTTTGGTAAAATTTTAATGAAAAGATTGGATTGAAATATTTAATTGGATAACATTAATACTTGTGTTAAAATTCGTGATCATTCCTTCTTATATATCTATATTTTAATTCGATAAAGAAATAAGTAATATCTTTGTTTGCTTTGTATATTATCGTGGATTATCGTGTAGGTCATTAATGCAATTGTCAGATTATCTCATATTTTAAAAAACATTTTAAAATAAGAATCCAAAGGTAGTGATTATTTCATTCTTTTAACGAATAAGAAAAATAAAATAATAATAAAAAAAAAATTTATAAATTTAAACGAAACGAAAATAAATGTGTTTCAATAATATTGTTCACACATTTAATTTCGCAGATCATATTAACTTCTCAAATAATAAAAAAATAAAAATATCTTTTGAACTTTGTTCGCTGAATTAAATGAAAAAAATCATAATACATTTATATTTGCGAGAAATATTTCAGAAAACGTACTCACCTTGCACCCAGAGTTGTTCGACCTTGCTGTGAATTTGAGCGGATTTGAGAGCGACACAGAATGTAGCCAATGCGACGATCGCAAGAAAGAGAACCTTGCCTGCGTGCCTCTGCAGGAAGTAGCCCAGCTGACTCAGCTGATCCTGCAGCCTTGCCCTGATCCACACCGCAGACCTTTGACCTTCCGCTTTGCCCTGAAAAAATAAGGGATCTGAAATTTTAGTCAATCATCGTCACTCGATGAAAATTTTATTTCTAAATTCAGATTTAATTGTATATATATTCGTTTTTATTGGCTGTAAAAGTAACACTTTAATCAGAACAATAAAAAGAAATTTATTTAATTGTCATTACTCTATCAGAATCGATTTCTTTTGGAGTAAAGGAAAAATTTTCTTTTGTTGTAGTTTGTGATATTTTAGAAAGTATATACATCTATTATTTATTAATTCAATAATTAACTAAAGCATACACGTAATATGATCATTAAAAAATTAAACAAAAAAAAAAACTTATAAAGAAATCTGAATTTTTGATTTGAAAGACCGAAAAAACTACCCTAAAATATCTTATTGAACGCGATCCTTCGTACTCCATTCGTACTCCATGAATAGTAGTTACAATTTCATACATTAGCATCTAAATTGAAGTGGTTACCCGTGACGTTGCTCCGCAACTCCGACAGGGCGCAACCTTCCACGCCACACGTTCGAGTTCCCAATTCATTCGTGGAAGGTTTACGAGCCGCCACGCACGGTACCGCCTACGATTTTCAAGAAAAAGAACAGATTCCAGCGGTTAAAGGGCGGCGAGGCCGGAACGGCAGCCGAAGCGCTTTAAATTGGCCGCGTGGGCTTTGACGATGATAAGTAGCTGGCCGCGGGTTGTACTCTTACCTCTTTGATGAGAACGTGCCAGAAAGAGATGGAGAAGGTAGGAGAAGAGAGTGGACGATGGGATGAAGATTGAACGAAGATGGCGATGAATAAGGTGGACGAGCATGGAGAAAATTTGGGAGAAATGTTAATGGCAATTACGGGCTGCAAAAAAGAGAAAAATGACTGAGGGTTGTTAACATTTCTTGTGAAAGATAAATATATTGGCTGAAATGTAAATCGAAGCGGGAAAATGTTGCATTGGAATATTGAATTAAACAGGAATAATTTTTTTTAATCCCCTATTGCGCAAAGACATATTGATAAAGAATTCTGATAACATAATTTTCTATATACAAATACATTATCATTGAACCCCTAATTATCTCCACTAATAAAACAAATACATTCAGCCTCACGTGACGTCTATCATACTTCTGTAACGTCTTACACGTAACCTCAAACGAGACGAAAACGAAGCATCCCCCATAATAAAACATCAAAATGAAAGAAACTGTGCAAAAAGACGCGTAAAAAAAAAAAAAAAAAAAAAAAAAGTTGGAAAAAACGAAAAAAAGAAATAAAGATGGAAGGGAGAGCAACGTTCGCAACATTGCGAACGGCAACGTTGCACACTACCTGGTGGCCGGTCTGACAATGTGCACCACAGACCACCCGCAACAATACCTATCTTTCCTGGCCGACAGGGAAAGAAAGACGGAGAAGGAAGGCCGAGAAGAGAGGCACACGGATCAGAAGGGAATCGAGCTCGCAGGAGAAAAGGAACGAACGCTTTTCTCTTTCTCTCTCTCTCTTTCCCTTTCTCTCTCTTCCTCTTTCTCCTTCATTCGGTTCACTTCGTGTACAGTTAGAGAGCATCGTAAGAGAGGAATGGAAAGACAGAAAAAGAGGAAAGGCGAACGAAGGCAGCGCACGATAGACGTGCAGATGAAAATACAGATTACACACGCTTACGTATCTCGGGGCAGTAGCCGGGCGTCGAGTATCGGATAGCAAGGTTTTCCAGCCAATTAACCCCGGTACCGCGGCCTCGCGGCCCGCCAGACTCGGGTAACTCTAGACGTGCGGACAATCCTCGTCGGCCACATGGTCCCCGGGAAACCACGGCTTTGCAGGCCTCCGTGGAACATGCGCCCCGACCGATGACCACGCATGTTTACGTTTCCTCTCTCGGTGAGTCCAAGTTAGCTTTTTTCGATCGGCCTTCCCCTTTTTTATCGGAGAACGATTGCCTCGATTAAAGGATTCGAAGCAAGATGAGATGTAGCCGAGAGATTGGGCACTGGTCGAAATCATTGAACCTTGTGTAATTATATCGATGATGTTGTTTCTTTTTTGCAATATCGATTTCATAATATTCAAAATCGTTTGAGGATATATCTTTTCTAATGAATGGACAATTCCTTGATTTAAGTAATGTTTTAATTCTTGATTATTATATAATCCTGAGTTGCTTTTAGTTAAAGTGAATCAATTATGTTTTTCATACGTTTCAAATATACTTTTATGGTATAAAAGAGTGTAGCGTTTCTCTTGCAGCTGCCATATTAGGAAAATCGTGAGAGGACTTCATTGATGATTCAATCTTGGAAGTAATTATGATATTAATCTTAACTTTGATATATGAATGCTTTCATCTCTTACATGGTTAATGATTAATGTAAAGTGTAAATATGAATAATTGTCTTCTTGTCTTTACACGTGGCTTTTTTTGAAACGTGATACTTATCTGTTTAACACAATATCCGTCTTTATTTGCATACAAAGCACAATTGAAAGAATATAAGTAAGTATCTGGAAAAAATTGAATTTCAAATTCAACATAAACAGTTCTTGCGTATGCTCAAATTTATCAAAGATATCTATAATAAAAAGAGATAGATTTGTCAAAAAAAAAAATATTCTTCTTTCCAAAAACTCCTCGATTACCAGTGTATAAAAATTTTCATTCAAAATCGCTCTTGGCTATTATTATTGCGTTTCTTCCCTAGATTTCTTCCACGACACGTATACCACACGCAAAAAGCGAGAATCATCCAACAGCCTCACAATTGAATTCTTATTTTACGTCCATCCTTGTCAAAGAATTAAACAGCGATTACGATCGGGCAACAAGCAACAAGAACAGTCGCATCACTGTCGTCGAGTTCGAGAAACAGAACCACCTGACAGGATCTTTATTGCGAGCGGGAGTAACACGAAAACCTTTTGAACGGAGAAGGAAATTCGACGAGGCAGGAGAGGATGTTGGTTAAACGTTTAACGAATTTATGTTATTCGTACTTTTAATGTTTTTCTTACAGCGCGACACGAGGTTCGCGAGGAGATAGCAGACAGCATAACAGGATCTTATGTCAACGACGGTGGTCCCCGCGCCACGAGGTTGTAATATGTAGATATTGCCCACCACGAGAAACCCCATAAGGCCCGCGGGGACCACTTACGGGAAAAAGGGGGAATTCCACCGCTTTGCTCTCCTTCCCTCCTCCACCACGAGGTATACGAGGCCTATATAGACGTCTCGAGAGCGACTCGTGGCGTCTGCGCTTTCTTTTTCTCCTTTGCTTCACCTCTCCTTCTTCCCTTCTTCCTTTCGATCTCTCTCTTTCTCTCTCTCTCTCTTTCTCTCTGTTACGGATTCGATAACAACTTATAATGTGCTTTTGATAATTAAATGGAAAATTATCATTCAGAAATGAGATATTGATCGTAGCCAAAATGAATGTTAGAACAATATGAATTTTATATTTTAATACGTAGTTTGATAGTTTTTCTTCTCAATCAACATCCTCCAACTTTTAAAAATACGCGTATACCGATTATAAAATAGACCAGTTTCTCAAATCTCCACACCAGCAGTGAACTTGTATAAATACACATGCTCCACTTGGCAAGGAATTCCCATATGAGTGAAACAGAAATAGAGATCGTTCCATCTCCCTTGCCCCGCCATTGCATTTTATTTCCGCCTCGCTTCATCCAATTTGAGCTAACTTAAATATTCTTATAACCTCGATAAATAATCCTCAAAACGATGACGATTTTTGTACACGAACCTTCTCTGTTCTCGTTTTTCTCTATCGACTAATCAATCCTTCTCCAAAGATGTATCTCCTCTGTCCTATCACTGTCATCTCTCGTTGCGTCAAATCCACGTCAAGATTCGTATTCAGAATTATTTCCTTGCCAAGGTAAAAATGGGGAGGAGAAGAAAAGTTTCGAATCGTGGAACGTTGCTCACAGGTAATGCACGCGTGTGAGCTTATCCGCGTCCTCGCTCACGGATACGACATGCGAGTTGCCAGATAAACGAATAGGTTCTTGCGGTAGGTAGGACTCGAAAGTGTCCACAAGAAACTCGATCCAACTGGCGCTCTAATCGGCCGAGGAATTCCAACCGGCGAGTGCCTATTCGAAAGGAAAATCCTCGGTTGGATTCCGGTAACGAGCTTCCTTAAACGACCGTATATCGCCAGGTAAGAGACGATCCAAGTCTGTGCTCCTCCTATTCGATACGTTAATCAGCATCCCCTTGTGATTACGTCGCGATATGAAATATTGAATCAATTCCCAATTGAATTATCATTAACTCGATATTGAATGATGTTAGAGCGTCTCCTAACACGTGTGATTCGACTTTTTAGCAGTCATTATTATTAATCTTATAGAGAGATCCTGGATGATATTCACGCTATTTTTGTTTAGAAAATTAACTATTTCTGCAACGATAAGAGATTGGGGGGAAAAGTTGAATTAGAATCTGCTTTAAAATGCTTTTACGTGTTGCATTTTTTATTTTTGTCATTTTGTTGTTAAAAAAAATTTTAACCATTATTTCCTAATATATTTTATACAATTTTTCAAAGTGATATGAATCTATCCACTTGGAATATTTGTTATTTAAATAGTTTCTGAAGTAACATTATTCAGATTTTAAAAGATCTTAAATATTATGCATATTAAAGATAAAGAACGTATAAAGACTCTTGAAACCAGTCTCTTAAGGTCTAGAGAGGTTCTTCATTGCTCATACGTCGTCAGTTTTAACTGTCTATATTTTTCAACATGCGGACTTAAGAACGAAAGGGTTAATAGTAATTGAGTTCATTTCAATTCATAAATGTAATTGCTAGATTGTGTTTATTTCAGTCTGATTAATATGCGGTCATAAAAGATGATTTACTCGTAAATGTAATTGCAATTATAGCATCGTTTCAGTCAGGTTAATATGCCATAATAAGGGAGGAGTTGTAACTGTCTTTGCAAATGTAATTAATAATTTGATTTACTTGACATAC